AATACAGAATTGAGAACTGATTCGATTATAAAGTAAAAAAATATAAATTTACAATAATTAATATTAATATACAGTTAGAATATATAAATCAATATTATATTAATCATTAAAATTTATAAAAATTCATGTGTAAATTAATTTATATATTTAATTCACAGACTTAAAATAAAATAAAAATTTTACTTACTTTGCCATCACCAGCAGGATTAATAAATACAACATAATGTCCTCCATGATTATCGCCACTATGAACCAGAACTGCATGCAATGTATAATCTGCACTCGTTGCTTCTTTGTTTTGCAAGTATTTACCAAGACTAATTTTTTCATAAAACTCAAACCTTTAAAGATAAATATATGTAATTATTTAGATGTTGAAAAATAAAATAAAAAATTTTAATGTTTTATATAGAAAACTATATTTTTGTTATATAAGTAAAATGCGATATTAGTTTCTTACCTGTCGTTAAATTTGACTGAACAATCTGTAACTGGGTCATATTGAAAACGCATTAAATGTAGATGTAAAACCGGTGGAAATGATGAAAAAATAACGCCTTTTTCTGCTTCCTGTAATCCATGCTCTCCCGCATCGTATTTATTATCGCCGTCAAGACTTTCTGTACTCACGTAATCGCTAAAAGATTCGTAAACTGGAACACAAAAAAATTATTAGCTTCTTTTTACTCAAACTGCTTATGCATAAAAGTAATGTTAATTCCAATACTTACTGTTCTTTTTGCCTTTTATATTTAACTGTATGTCATAAAATGTTTCGACTCTTGTTGATTTGTAGTCTATATTTTTACACTTGATAAAAGAAACCATTTTTCCCTCAAACAATTTTGGCACTGTACCTTCCACGCATGTTCCTTTCATTTTGCTCTCCAACTTATCTAATAGCTAAATTTTCACGAAATTAGTATCTATTTAACCTTAAAATGTACATATACACGTACATTTAAAAGTTAAATAGTTATACTTTATATTATAAAAATGCATGATATATATTTACCACTCGTAGAAACTCTTGCACATCATGCTGCATGAAAGAATCCAGCGTCTCCCAACCAAAACTCTTAGTTAATTTCTTTGTACCGACAGGTTTGTCGGAAAACTGTAACTCATGAAAAACCCTCTGCAACGCCAATGCAACGCTCTTACTCGAATCGTCACTCTCTGTTGGCATTTTATACACCGCCTTACGCAACTAAAAAGAAAAAAAAAGAGATAAAGTAATAAAGAGAATATTTCAGATGGTTTATTACTGGTTGTCACTAAATATATTTTTCACTAACCTGATTTGTAAAATAGAGTGTTTGCAATAAAGAATTCATGTAACATGTAGCACCTTGATTTTTCAAGCCTACATATCCTGTATGTTTTTTACTGTCCCAACTAACTCCATGAGGGGCATCAGCCACTACATGAACCTAAATTAGAAATATCAAACTTTATAAATTCAATGTAAATATTACTTTATACATCAATAACAATGCTTGTTCTTATTTGATATTTATCTTGTATCGATTTTTTCAATATAAATATATAATATAAATCCCCATAGAATTAACAAAATTTTTTAATCCACATTATCATGTCATCTAGATATTAATATTAATCTCATCATAAAAAAAGGAGAGAGAGAAAGAAAGAAAAAAACATCATACAACATTGTATCTTATATCAACAAATATGTTATCAATGTTTATAAATTATATGAATGTAATCGTAAGATTCCATTACAACAAAGTTATATTACTTGGACAACAATTAGAAACAATAATCAAGTAAATAAATAGAATCAGATAGAATGAGAAATAATGAAAAAATTACAATGCTACTTAAAATATTAATAATTAGAGTTAAGAGAGGATGTTTTACAAACCTCAAGTGTGATCGAATCATCTTTTATGAAACCTCTGTCAGGATCTAGAACATCTTGCCATGTCATAAAGTGACTAAAGCCCCAATCATTCTCTTTACTATAGAAGAGATGTTGGATTTCTATAAAAGCATACAATATATTATTAAAAAGATATGTAGGCTTATTATAAGTAAAGCTAATTAATATATAATAATCAAAGAAGAACGGAATCATATTTACTTCTGCTAAATGGTTCTTGCCCCTCTTTACAAGAAAGAAGACGTAATTCAGCAACAGCGTAACAACTCCAAGATGTAGATTCGCTTTCTCCGTTACACTGAAGAAAGAATCCAAGAGATCTTTGTGGCTGTCTCTCCTGTGTTTGACTTGACCGTGGCATCACCATTATTTTCCATGGTAAATTGCGGACATAACAAGCAGGAGACAGCTGCGAGTCCTTCATCTTAGATATATTTTCAACAGTATATCGAAAAGTAGCTTCTGATCTGGCCTCATCTAATATAAAAGAATATAAAATTTATATAAAATATAATTAAAAAATATAATATATAAAAATAATCAAATATATAAAAATAAAATTAATCTAGTTCAATAGCGTACAAAATTATTAGAATCTTTTTAAATGAATTAGAATGAAAAAAAATATAAATTTCATATGTATTCAAAACATAAAAATATTATTATATATATTATTATATATATTAAGATAATTTCAAAATTATAAATTTAAATAAAGTTCGTGATACATAATAAAGAATCATCATACCTTCCTCCATTTCTTGATCCTGAACTATACATGCTAATTCTGGTTCACCATTTATAGGACGGTTGTCAGTTCCATCTCCTCCGCCATCATTTGGGGTTTCTATGAAAGTTAATATTTATTCTTTTAACAGTTGAAACACAAACAATTGAACACATAAATCTAACAAATATCTTAAAACAAAAATGGACTTCCATGCAAAATAATGAGAATAAAAAGTTAACTTTATATTTCACAATATAAGATTAAATGTATGATAAATGTAAGATTAAATGTATGCACAATTTTTTATTAATTAAACAATTTACGACATACTGCTATATCCTTATATACGAAATTAAGCATTGAAAGTATAAAGATTATGTTTTTGCACAAATAACTGCAACATAGTGCAATATTTAATACAAAACAATCAATTTACCTAAAGAGTGAAAAGTACAGTTCTGAAATATTTTTTTTATAAAATCATGAAAATTGCAATTTATCGAATAACACCTCATGTGGAACACTTAGAAGTAATTAATTGTAACAGTAGAATTGTAAGAAACAAAGGGAAAATTAACGTATTGACCATCAAATGAAAATCATGAAATCATCATAGGTTAATATTCACACTTATAATCACATTATAACTTTCTTTATAGTCACACTATATATGTATACATTTACTTCACTCTAAATTCAATATTATGAAAAGATACAGAATTGCCAACGTATCACCGATCTATACAGACACTAAGGGCGGATCAAATAGTGATTGTTCGTTCAGTAGCCATACGTAGTACAATAATCTTTATCAGCGATTACATTTTATATATCCACGAAAATTTCTGATAATGAAACTGTGACGTAACATTCCGTTCTATATTATCTATCTACAATCAGAGACATTCAATTTGCCACAATGCACGCTATTTTCAAGATGTATTTGTCGCGATATTGACATTCTACGCGAGGGAACCCTCTATTTCTCAAACGGAATAAAATGATAAGAAACACAAATTTGAAAAATAAGAATATAAATATAAGAATATAAATATAAGAATATAAATATAAGAATATAAATATAAGAATATAAATATAAGAACATAAATATAAGAATATAAATATAAGAATATAAATATAAGAATATAAAATAAGAATATTTATATATTTTACGATTGATATTATTTTATCTAAATCATGATTTAACTATAAATAATTTATAAAATCCTCTCTCTGCATTTACAAAAAATCTTTTCTTCTTTATAATACAAATATTTGTTATAATTACTTTGTAATATTCAAGGCCACCAATAGCACAGATTTTTTTTTTTATAAGTGGAATAAAAACAGAAAGTTTAGTGAATCGCTGACATTACTTAACATCATGCCGCGAGTGCTTGATATCAAATCACCATGCTAGCAGCCAGCAGCAGCAGCAACGGTAACACGCGAATGGATTGCTCTAGATCGTTCCGTACAGTAACCTTGCAGATGCATGAAAAAGCTTGCACCCGCCCGCGCGTCCCTCTCTAAATATAAAAATTCCGCAAGCACGCTTACGCCGTCGGAAAAAAGGAAAGAAAATTCGAAGAAAGTTAGCGAGGAGCGCCGACAAAGAGAGCTCTTTCTCCCTCTCTCTTTTCTTCCCTCCCTTCCTCTCTCTTTCTCTTTCCCGTTGAAAGCATTGCGTTTACGTTCGTAGGCAAGATGAGAAAGATATATATATATATATATATATATATATATATGTATGTATATACTTACTAACCACACACCACACACACACACACACACACACACACACACACCACACACACACACTACGACG